CTTCCTTCCGAAGACAATATTTCCTAGGCACATTCCTTTACCAAATAATCAATAATCATCGTCCATCCTACGCATACAATCTATCTCCTACAATTCAAATCATCTATCCACAAGATCTCATCCTTCTGACCTTTACACCCCTTTCCACAGATCTGCATCATTTAAACATTCCTTCGTTGTCCGTTCCACTGCATTCTGGAATTCCATCCCACTAAAAATCGGCCATGCATCATCCTTATCCATCTTTAAAACCCTCTTATTCCAATTTCTCTTCACAATCTAATCAGATGCTGGTTAAATACATATTATGTAACTTTACTTTTAATTTTCTTTAGACATTATTATTTTTCTCTTTTTTTTTTATTGTTTTATTCGGTGTTGAACATGAATTTACATCACCACTCACAAAGCATTGTGAGTAGATAAAATTTGTTTTTCTTAATTTCTAATTTTTCTATTCATGAGATTGTTTTTTTTCTTCTCCTAATCTTTACGTGTAATCACTTAAACATCTTAGGGAACATAAATATATCATTTTTTTAAAAATAATTTATTTCTTTATATATCATTTTATTTTTTTAAATTTTTATATTCCATCACTCCAATGCTTTGCCTATAAAATTTATTTTGCGTTCCTTTCTAATTTCATTTAGTGATTATTATGCTATTGGTTTTAGCTCCAATATTGTAGTATTGAACAGCTATTACCCAACTGTTCTCATTAATATATCCTAAGAGCTATTATACTTAATTTATTACTAGTATTTTGTTATTATTCATTGTAATAGATCTTTTGGCCAGATTTATTGTTAATTTATATGAACAATGCTGTTATTCTAAAGGAACCTAATCACAGAATAAAGATGTTTTTTCTATTCTATTCTAAAATAGGCAGGCATCTGTCAGTCATCCTTAAAGGGAATAATGATTTCATTAATCAACTACTGCAGTTCTGGTGCTCACATTAATAGATATCTTTTTTTCACTTCTACTTAAACGTAAAACAGAAATTTATGAGTTCTATACTTAACCTTGATTATCTCCTAAGATGAAGTAATCAAAAACCATCTTCAGACTTTAATTTGGCAAAACACAAGTTTGGAGTATACCCGGAACCACACATATCTGGGTGTACCCTTTTCTTCTTCTGGAAAATTTGAGGGAGCCACAGAAGATTTCTTACAAAGAACATGTGTTGCAGCGGCCAAAGAAATAGCAATCCTAAGAAATGGAAAAAGCGACCCTTGGGAGACCAAAACAAGCCTCTTTGACTCGATGGTCTCGTCAACACTGCTCAATGCTGCAGAGATCTGGAGGCCAAGATACCTGGAGGTTTAGGAGAGGAAGCAAGTTTGATTTATCAAGTTATTGCTCCATTGGCCAAGAAATAAACCAAACTATGTGGCTCACCTCGAAACTGGGAGATCTCCATTAAGCGTTGAAGTGTTAAAAAAAAGTGATCAACTATTGGACAAAGTTGAGCTTAATGGGTCATGAAAGACAACCTAGACAATGCTTTAATAGGCTTAGAGCTCTTGACCCATCCAGTGGAAAACCTGATCTAATTTAAAACTGGGTTACCCAAGTAAAGATGATTGTGGCGGAATTGGGGTGTCAGAAGCGGTTTTCAAGTGTTTTCTTCCAAGGTCTGATGAGGTTCAAAGATGAAATCATTGAAAGGATGAGAAACCATCACGCATCCAAGGACATCGACAGTGTTAAACTCTAAATCAAACGCAAGATACAGAAAAATCTACTCCTTTAATACTACTGGACCAGAGGACTATCTGCAGTTCAAGGTTCTAAATTTGAGCAAATTAAGAGCCATTAATTATCTCAGAGTAGAAAGTAAAGATTTTGTGAAGATATATTTAGAAGATGCTAATTTGACTATCAAATCTAGTGAAGTATGCGGTGCATGCAACTGCCTTGTATCTGACCCGGTGACTCATTTTTTGATTCAATGCATCAAATTTAATGAACCAAGAAATAAGTACTTGAAAACATTTATAAATGAATCCAGGGAAGATATTAGTGTAGAGGATATACTGAAAATAGATACTCTGAACAAATTAAATCAACTGTATTATTTCATAGAAGGCTGTTCATTGAACTGTTTAGTGGTATAGTTAATCATATAAACAGATATTAATGCATACTTATATTGTTATTCGTTTTATATAGCTGGAATATTTTTAAAAATTCATTATTGAAAAAAAAATTGTTCTACTTCGAACATAGTACTAGACTCAAAATCTAACATTGTTAATAATACCTTTATATATATTTGTACAGGAATCTCCACAGACAAATAAAATAAACTATTCTATTCTACTTAACCTTGATCGAACTAAATAAAAAATTATTGTATTATTGTATTATCAGCTTTCTAGTAAAAAAATGCTGAAAATTCCTTAGTATGAATTTTAAAGCAAATTTACAAATCAATCTCCTTATTTATGGACATTTTAACGCTTCTTCTGAAACGAATGAATGGATGTTCAAAAACTTTTATGACATTATTCAGATATGTTGGGGGTGGAGGTTGGACCAAACCGCTAAGTATTTTTAGAGGCCACCTTTTGTATGTTTCCTGAGAATCCAGTTATATCTCTATATTTAAAAGAAAGATGCAATTCACTCATTGACTTTTTGATCACTGTAAATCAATATATTTATTTTCAAAATATTATTTAAAATTATATTTATATTATTTAAAAATTATATTTATATAAAAATAAGTATTATTTATTTATTTTTACTTTGTTCGTTATTTTGAATGAACACCTCAACCTACTTCTCTTCAATATATCTACAATAGTCAATTACTAATCGACTAATATAAAAAATGTGCAGTCTTTGAAGAATAGTGAAATGTACTCATCAGTAGAAATCTGTCAGGCTAAAAGCGATCAGCCAGCATTCATCTTATATATCATAAATAACCTAAGTTAATGTCTCTGGTGACAAAAATGTGAATCAAAGTTTTGCTGTTGATAAGACAAGCTATGATAGATACTAAACCCGAAAGGTTTTAGAGCTTTATTTATTTTATTTGAGAACTTGTTGATATTCTCTTTAAAAATCAACAACATACAAATTTCTTAAAATTTTATATAAATTTAAAGTCAAATTTGGTCTTAGCCTTTTTTGCTTTTAATAATTCTCAGGCAAATATGAACACCAGACAGGCTGGCATCAACAGAATTTTGCTTTATATAGTCATGTTGTCAATATAAAGCAAAATTTTCCTACCTTACAACTTTGATAACGCAATAAAAGGAATCAAAAGTGCTAACATTTATTAAACAACGTAATTTTTTGGAATCAGAATTTCATGAAGACCCTTATTTGTAGAAATGAGAACTACAGTGGACTAACACACATTTTAGTTAAAATTGAGTTTAAAGTGTTTATGCAAGTCATATCACAATACTAACGCATTTTTAAAATCTGTCCTTAATTCCTTTATTAAACTTAAAATGACAGAAATGTAAGGTTAACTGGTTTTAAAGCAATTAGAGAAAAATATATAAAATTTTGAAGATTTTTTATCAAAATCAAAGCTGGTCATATAGTTGCTGCCCCACAAACTTTTTAGCGACGTTGAGAGGGAAGGGAGGAACCTATAGCTGACAGTTCTCTCTGTAACGGAATACTTTTCATTACCTCCACTCACCACTTTAGACTTTATATTTAGGTAACGTTCGAAACTTTTTAATTTGTTTTTTATATAACTTTTATACAATTGACAGAAAAACCTTAAGACAATATGAAAATATAACTCAGCACTGAGCATCCTGTCAATTAAAGGGAAAGAGCCGAACAGATTATAGACTCAGATATAAGTTCACTGTCGCCTGGACCCAATTTCGTCTCAATTCATATGAGTCCACCTTCGTCTGGGCCAGATTGCATCCCTATTCATATATAAGTCCATTGTTGTTAAAGGGTTAATTCTTAATACCTTATTTCAATGCTCATGAGGCTGTTACGATTTCTCCTTTTTTTTCTTTTTTTTTTTTGGCCTACAAAGCGTTTCATTGTCCAAAACAAATTTTTTAAATTAAATTTGTTAAAAATGTCGATTCCTTTTTTGTTGTTAATGATTACTTTTTCCCAATTATGAAAAATCAACCATTTCAAAGATGTCAAATTATAGATGTTGGAAAATAACTAACTGAAATTATAAGATGTGCAATAAATAGTTTGATATGAATAACAAAAGGAGTTGAAGGCGCTGATTTGCAATTTAGTCTGCCTACTATTTACTTTTCTATTATCCCCAAGCGAATATAGTAGTGAACAGCTAGTAATCATACTGTTGTATAACCAAAAATTGAATGTCTATGCTAAGCCTAAATTAGGTAACACTATACAAATGTTACACCACCATGACCAGTAGACTAAGACCCCCTGATCTCATTATAAATGGGATTCTGATAATAGATGAAGACATGAAATTGACAAAATAACCTCCCTCTATTTAGATCAGGATTTATGACTTTGACAAAGAGAATCCCTATTGATTCTCTTCAGTTAAAATAGGAGAGTTAATCAGCTTTAATTACATTTGACTTCCTCTCACTTAAATGAGATAAACAAACCCCCCACAGGTACTTTTTTTTCTGTTAAGATCAGGGCATTTCCAGAACTGGTCACTTTCCGACACAACTCAGCCATTCTCCTCATTCCATTTACGGTGTGATCAAGAGATCTTGTGACAACCATGGAAGTGGAGAACATTTGTACAACAGTACCCTAAATTAGTTTAAAGTTCGTGGTGGTACTTGTCAAAAACCTCTAATGAAGTTTTTTAAATTGACACTGTAGTAAGTTAATCATAATTGTTTTGTGTGTTTATATTTACATTATGTTTCAAATATTACAATTAATGAAAAAAATATAATGAAAGAGTACTCGGTAAAATTAAAATTCAGCACTCCTAACAAATATTAACTGTAAACAAACCATGGTCATCATTGATTGATATAACTCACCTTGCCACTTAGGATCTTCATTCATAAGATTTCGTTCTTTATCTAACACATTTGGACCATTAGGAGTACTTTCACCATCAGGATTTTCAATTGCCTTCAAAATAATGAAAAAAAATTACACCTTGCTTATGATGAATGAATACTTTTGGACATTGATAATAATTAATGCACCTGTATTTCTTTTATATCATAAACCGGAGGTCGCAAATCATGACTACCATGAGCAAATGCACAATGGGGTCCATTTTTGACACAAAAACCCCTAGCATCAGTATCATGAACACACATACATGTTTTATAATATCTCAAGTGATATCTTCTTTCAGTATCACCAGCTGTTCTATGCAGAAATGGGCAACTGCAAAAATATTTTTCTTTAAATTGAATAAATTAAAATGATCAAAGTAAATAACTAACTATTGTTTAGGACTCAGATTCATAAAACAAGCCATATTAAAACAAGAAAACAAAAATAAACGTATTAGCACAGTTTGTTTATGTCGGTAATTGAGCCCAACTCACTCGTCTCCATCCGGGCAAATTCCAGTAGTTTCATCATATTTAGTGCAGTAGTTATCAGCACTGTAGTTAAAAGATCCGTCTCTTTTCCTAACAGGCCTCCGTCGCCTCTGATTCATAAAATGCCAATGAAAACAAGTAAAAGGTCTATGTTGTGTACATTTATGTTGCAGGAACAAGGAGCACTGCTCCACACGAAATTCCTTCAAATACCTGGAAATGTTTTTCAAAACACTTTCTACATTCATCTAATATTTATAAATCAATTTAAATTATGTTGTCAAAGTAATTAAATGCTCACGAATAATGATTTGGTTTCTCTGTTTGGGCTGTCAACAAAGGTTTAGACTCAGACGGCATTTTGTCAAGTTGCATTTTGATGTTGCGCATTAACAGAGCGCACAGACGCTGCGGTTCGTGACGTATTTATGGAGGGAACTCATTTCAAATTCAAGCCAGTTTCTAGAATGTTATCTGATAACAATTTACTCATAATGAGGGGCACTAGCGGATCCATGACTAATTTTTTGGAATGGGGGGAGTTCAGCCCGAAAGCTTTTTTATTCATGTATGAATATATATATAACAATAATTACTTTGGGGAAAAAAGAAAGATACTAACTACCTATATCAAATGGTGTTTAAGTGATTCTTGAAGTCCTATTAAATGTAATTACGCTAACAATAATACGTTAAGAGATTATTTTAAAATATCTTTTCCCATAAAACATGGTTACATTTTATCATTTTGGGGGGGAGGGGCTTCAGTCCGAAAGCCCCCTCCTTAGATCCGCCTGTGACGGGAAGCATAAATCAATATTCTTTGTGAAATTAATAAACATTATTTATGATTCTACTATTTATATTTGAAAATGCTAAAACTGATTTTTATAATCGAAGAATAAATCTGTACTCTGCCAACAAACTAAAATCTAGGTTCTAACACTCAGGGGTGCCGTTCTATCGCGATTATTGAGGGGTTGGGGACCATCTCTGAAAGATATCTAAAAGTTACCTTTGTTTCAGTATCTTTAAGATTTCTAAAATATGACCATTTCCAGATGACTTTTTTTAGGTGGATAAAATATATCTAAGCCAGATGTTCAAAAATGTCTTGAATCGGATAATTTTTTTCAATTTTAAATCTATTTATTGAATAATAATACAATCAGCCACTGCTGGAAGGTTATAAGCATTAGGGCTAAAAGTTCTCATTCATACAATATATGCAAATAATAAAGAAAGAAATATAAATATAAGAAGTAAATAAAAAAAAAACTTCTAAACATAATCATAACTATATACAATATATACATTCGCCCAAGAATCTCCGAGCCAGGCTTTTTCTCCCACATGTGGAAGGCAAAGCAAGACTCCGGAAGATCCCAGTGCCACTTTTCCAGCCGCATCACTAGTATTAGAAGTCAGTGGAGACTGAAAGAGGGCACTAGAGCCATAGACGCTCAGGACATGAGTGGAGAAGCTGGCCATATTTACAAAAGATCTCGAGGCCACTGTCGTTTCAACCTTCGAGGGGGATGGTATGGATGCTCGGAGCTGGATAGGGATTGCGCTAGAGGATTGGGATGATGAATAAGGTTCTGGTGAAAGTTGGAGAATCTGGATGGGATGATGTCATGGACATATGGGATGTTAAGGTCATGGTGTACGGTCTTGTTAGTGACATAATATGGAGCATTGACTATTGTTCGAAGATCTTTGAACTGGAAGTATTGGATGTGTTTGATATTCGATGATTTAGTTGTCTCCCACAGTTCAAATCCGTAGGTCCACATAGGTTTCAGTATGGTCTTGTAGATTAATAATTTGTTTTCTGTTGAGAGATGAGATGTTCTGTTTAGTAGTCTATATAGCTGACCAAATCGTTGGTTAAGCTTTTGTCTTTTAAGTCTCGTACGTGGGTTCCAAGTTAGTCTTTTGTCTAGAAGGAAGCCAAGGTATCGGACTGTGTCTGAGTAGGGAAGAGGAATAGAATTAAAAAGGATTGGAGGACAGGATCTCCGTCGAAGAGTGAAAATGACATGTTTGCATTTTTATTCATTCATTTTTATGCGCCAGTTGTTGCACCACTGCTCAATGAAGGAGAAGTGTATTTACAGGTTTCGGGATGATATTAGAGGATCTGAGTGGGAGGATAGGATGGCAGTATCATCAGCAAATGTTGCTAGGAAGGTATCAGGACTTGAAGGGATGTCAGCGGTGAAAAGGATGTAGACAACTGGGCCCAAGACACTGCCTTGTGGAACACCAGCCTCAATTGGATAATGTTTGGAGAGTTCAGTGCCGCAGCAGACTTGAAAGGAGTGATTTGAAAGGTAGGGTTTGAGGACTAGGTACAAGGGTTGAGGTAAATGGGTTTTGAGCTTGAAAAGCAAGCCATCGTGCCACACCCGGTCGAAAGCTTGAGCTAAGTCCAGAAAGGCACCAGTGCAATATTGCTTGTTTTCAAGTGCAGAGGATATGTGGTTCACAACGCGAAGGCCTTGTTGGACAGTGGAGTGTCTTGAGCGGAATCCAAACTGGTGGGAAGGGATATTGTGGGATTCAAGTATGGGTAGGATGCGTTTGAGAAGGATTTTCTCAAAGATTTTGGAAAGGATCGGAAGTAAGCTTATCGGATTATAGGATGATGTATAATTAACAGGTTTACCTGGTTTAGGAAAGAGGATAATTATGGAGTGTTTCCACACCAGAGGAAAGTGGGTTGTACGGAGGATACAGTTGAATAGGTATGTAAGGAATATAATTACTTTTTGGGAAGTTGTCTGAGGATCTAGGAGATCGTGTTCTGGAGATTTGCGAGGTTTTAGGTTCTTTAAAAGGAATTTGACCTCAGAGGGGTTGACGGCTGTAGGAGGTAAGGAGAGAGGAATCGGTGAAGAGAGAAATTCTTTAACTTCAGCAGTATGGGAGGGATGGAGTTCAGGATGAGGGAGTGAATGTGTACGATAGATGTTTAGCAAACTCTTCTGCTCTATTCTCATCTGACGAAGCCCAGGAACCATCATCACGGCGGAGGGGGTGGGAAATGGTTTGGAATTTAAGGATTTTTTTTGTTACATTCCAGAGGGAGTTATCACTTGCAGATAGTGACGAAAGATAGGAATTATAGGATTGGGATCTAAACGTAGCCAGTTTTTGTTTTACCTGCTTGGAAAAATAGTTATATGATTTTCGAACATCAGGATGTTCATTGCCAGATGGTCCTAGAGCATCGTTTTCTATTAATAAGATCCAGTAGGTCTTGGGGTAGAGGATTTATTTTGCGGTATTTTTTAGAAGGATCATGAGCAATAGCTTGCGTGCAATAAATGAAAAACATGGTTTTCTAAAGACTGTAGCGCAAAAACGGCTCTAACGATGTTGATGAAACTTTCCTGCAATGTTCTAATCATTGTTCTTTCAATTTTCGTATATAGACTAAATTCCCGAAAAAATTCAGGAAAAAAAGTTATAAAGAAAAGAAAAATGTTATGGGGACAAACTTCCTAAGTATATATTATACAGTAAAAGTTATAATAAAACTATCCGGAATGTAATGAAATTCCCTACAAAGCCATATAAAAATCGTTCATTTTGGACAACTAATAACGAAGTTACAGCTATTCAATTTCCAATGTAAGATTGCGGTTTCATATCCTGGTGTCAGAAAGGGGTGAATGAGAGAAAAAAGATGACTAAGTGAAAGTAAAAAAATCTATTGCCCGCTTTACACAATCTTCACTATTTCCTCTACTTTTAACAGAAATTATTGTTTGACAATACTAAGCTGTGGCAAAAAGTTTTTGATCATCAATATTAGGAAGTATTGAAATTTGTACACTGATCTACCTTAAGCCGGTTTACATTGCTTTAGTTTATCAAATAAATCGTAATCAAATCTTATGTTTGATAAATTTTCAGGAAAACGTATCTAGTTCAATTATTTTTGTTTCTTCATGAAAATATGTAAAGATATAAAAACTTTTCTGAAATAGTTAGGAAAGTCGTGTGAGTTGACACACTAGATATTTTACTTTCACTTACCTATATATGAAATATACAGTATTGGATAATTTAATATTGCAATCGTGAAAATTTCCGCATCTGAATTTAAAAGATATACAGATTTTGAGTCAAGGTCAGTAAAACTACCAGGTTCGTTCACTCAATTGAGCTCTGACGTAGCCAAAAGACTGATTTTACCCCTGCGGCCTTTGTTTCCTGGATATTTTAAGATTATTATTTACTTTTCTACATTAAATCAATACTGAATTGCCAAATAACTTATTAATTTAAATAAATTTGAAAGGTGAGAAAAAGGTTGATTTGATATTTGGTTTATTCTGAAGCAAATAAAATGTAATTTAACAAAGGAAGGCAAAAAATAAATTATAATATTTATTTTTTACATATACCGACGTTTCGACCTGAAGTTCAGGCCTTCATCAGGGCTTTCTCCCCTTGACACTTAAGGAGAAAGCCCTGATGAAGGCCTGAACTTCAGGTCGAAACGTCGGCATATGTAAAAAATAAATATTATAATTTATTTTTTGCCTTCCTTTTTTGACTGAGCACCCCAACTATTCTTCTCTTCGTAATTTAACAAGTTGATGTATGTTTTTTTGCAAAGTACCACAATGCTACTTTTTAAATATTTCAAATAAATACAGAGCATAATATAAAATAATAGAGATATTGAAAAAAAAAATAAAAGAAAACGTATTTAATCTAACATTAAAGAAGCGATTTCTTTCCGTGAATTTTTGTAAATATTACATTATTATGTCATAAGTAGTCCTATGTAGTGATTTTTCTCAAGTTTTTTGGCTTTAATTTTATGTTTTCTTAATTGTTGTAAAAATCATTGGGTATTTAAAAATTTGATTCTATTAAATACCCATTGCTGAAAGAAAGGCTTTCTTCATTAATTTCTATATTTTGTTTCTTAAGAAAAAGATAGTAAATTTTTTTACAATATTTGTTTTTTTTTTACAATATTTTTACATTTACGTTTTAAAATCCAATCTTTTCTTCGAGCGTCCTTTGGAAAAGTATGAAATGAAATTTTCTTTCCCATCTTCTTTGTGTCAATTAGATTATTGTTGCAAGAAGCAACTGCGCATTTTGTACCTGTCATTCTATAGGATTCTATTAATAATTATGTTATTATAAGAAATGCAAGAAATACTAATAAGAACAAACGAATTCTCTGTAACATGTTATTAAAAATAAAAAATAAATACTCGTTATAATATTATTTTAGAGACGGATAAGTAGTTGACTGTTAAGATCATAAGGTGCAAATAAATTATCAGGATTTGTTTATTATTTAAAATAAATTTATTTATTTAAAGAATTTTTGACTGCAAATCCTGACAAAGATCTTCACCCTTATAATATTATTATAATATCGTTATAATATTAAAAGAAATACCCACGAGATCTACATACAAAATTACACAAACATT